TGCTTATATTTCTTTTAAGATCGGCGTGTCTTTTTTGTCAACTATCGTGTCATCACTCGTCAGCCAGTGGTGACTTGACGACTTTTTATAGGCAATGGACAATTTATTTTTAAAAAGTCCGGAAAACCAGAAAAGCAAAATCTAACTGAAGATAAAATACCCCAAAATATCTTCTTAGTCTTCACACAAAATTGTATAAATGAAAAAGGTACTATTCAAACGCATTTATACCGATTATCTTCATTATGTACCATGGCCTTCAGGATTTGGTCGATCATGTTGATTGTTTCCTTTAGCAACATTTCTTTCTTTGCCAAGTATCCTGCCTCCTCGCCATTCCGCTATCCATTCACGCAAGCTCGTCATGAAGATGAACCGCTTCCTTCCCGTGCTTACCCTCGATAGGTCTTGTAACCTCTCTAAGCCCTCTTTCCTCATTATATGTATAAGAAATTTCAACTCTCTTATTCTCAACATAAGTTTTCTTTTTTTTTTTTTTTTTTCTGAATGCAAATGTTCTTTTTGTTCTTTAAACCTTCCTGGTTACTTACTCGATCCTTCCATAAAATTCTCAGCATCCTTCTGTAGAACACTGTTTCTGCTTACTTCAGTTTTCTCTCTGTATAGATGTTCCAGCATTCACTTCCATACAGAATTTTATTCTTTGTTTCAAGCGATATTTCCCAGCACAAAAGATACATGTTCTGCAAAGGCAGGATGTAGATGGGAATAATTCATCATGCTTTCAATGGTAATCATACCCTCAATAATAGAAGTGCATTGAAAATGATATATATATTCTATAAATTTCTGCTTGTAGTAAAAATAAGAACTAATGCAGCACGCTCCAAAAACAATAACTCATTTCCAATAGCATTTTTCGGATACAACAATACATATATTTTCGTTGTCCTCTTATTAGTAAGAGAAAAAACAAGAACAACATCTATTCCATACCTGAAGATGTCTGTAGGAACAGACGAAAGCTTGTAGTAAAAATAAGAACTAATGCAGCAGAAATTTATAGAAACAAGGATCTTTTCATCCCTAACGGGTTCGAGGGTTTTTGTATATTATTTGAATTGTTTGCGACGATGGATTTCTCGCCAATTAAATCATTAACCTTTGCATTTGTTTTTGTATGAATAATTCATGAATTTGTAAACTGATTGCACGTTTATCGAAATATTTATATATATATATATATATATATATATATATATATATATATATATATATATATATATACATACATACATACATACATGAAGGTGTACGTATTGTAGTTCTCAGAAACATATATTCAATTATGTGTCATGCGTGGTACACCTTAGGCGATCATGTATCTTTCGATACATGATGATGAAGCTGATTTCTTTTTTCCAGCAGTAGGTTACCACTTCGTTCAGCCGTATATCAGTTGCTATCCAAGTCTATAGAACCCGGTCTGCCCTGATATTTTCCCATAGCTGGGTTAGAAGAAGAGGATTCATACATTTCCCAACGGTATTAGCCCGTAAGGATATTAGTACAAAAATGAATGTGACAAACAAGAGCAGACTTTAAGATTGAATTTAAACTTGACCTGCAGATTTCAATCAAATTACATTATACATTTAGAGATTCTAGATAAAATAAAAAAAAAATGCCTAACATCCCATATTCACTCACTTTTAAACTGCCATAACTCCATGTGGTTTTCATTAAATATTTTCAGGGTCATTGATCTGAAGAACTTTCATCTTTGCTACCTAGAATTTATGAATTTAAGTGAACTGTAGTGAGTCCCAAAAGAAATAAAATAACGTATAAATATAAAATATATAAGCAAAAAAATAAAAAGTATCCAAATTAAAATAAGGCATTTGACTTTTTATTTAAAACCCTTATCTTTTCTTTTTGCTCTAAACTTCTCTCCTGTCTCTCTCTCTCTCTCTCTCTCCATATATATATATATATATATATATATATATATATATATATTTCTCGCTCAACTAATGAGAAGGCAACTCTCAAGTACAAAAGAGGATTATGAAAAAAACAGAGTCTGGCCGTTTTGACAATAATCCATGAAAACTCAGAGAGGCTCCACACTTAACTTCCGCTATAGAAAATTTGAAAACGACAAGAACACGGGAACATAAAATAATTTTGACCAATCAAAAAAAAAAAAAAAATACAAAATAAAACAAATAACCAAAAAAATAAAAAGAATTCAAATAAGGCATTTGCCCTTTTCTTTAAAAAACGCTTATCTTTTTCTTTCTCCCTAAAGTTCTTTTTTTATATATAATTCTCTCTCAAATAATGAGAAGGCAATCCTCAAAGGAAAAAGGAAAAAACGAAAGAAAAACTGAACACGGACGAAAAAACGGCAGGAATTTGCTGGAGCAGAGTCTAGCCACGATTACCAAAAATCTGAGAGACACCACATATAACTTCCGCTATACAAAAAAAAAATAATTAAAAAGAAAGGAACACCAGAAAATTAAATAATTTTGAGTAATCAAAAAACATAACACAAAGCGACTTGATGTGAGCCAAAACCAAAGTTCGCGCCAGTAGTCAGAGAGCCTGGGCAAAAGGATATAAACTGACAGTCCTGTCAAGACATGGAGAACAGGCCGCAAAAGAAACGGAAACAAAGAAACTATCAAAAGACTAGCCATGCACGACGCATGAAGTACTTTAAGAGGTCATCCGCTAGTTATATTTTCTATCCTTCTTAGGGTCAAGAAAACCACAGTAGATTGATGCTGATCTATTTCTAAGATGACTATTGCTACCAGAATTCTAATTGAGTCAGTTCGATTAATCCCAAAGTTTCTTATGAATAAGCACCAAGAATATCTGGCACCTTTCTCGCAACTTTATTAGATTGGCAGTAAAACCTCATTATTTTACAGGTGAAATGCATAAATGTAACAGCAAGTTCTATGCTAACAGTTTCTTCTTTTTCACTTCTCACACGTTGAACTCTCTTCTGGCTTCTTGCTTTGCAGTCTGTTTGATCTGCAGAAATCTATCATTCGTCCATTTTAAAGAATAAAATTCCTGTCTCGAAATCTGATAATTCTAAAATGAAAACTAGTCTGATCTAGCTGTAATCTCTAGGAAAATATGATATAACATTAATTGAAACCTGTGCAAGATTCACTGGAATTGTAAAATTAAATTCATGGAAATCAAAGTGCATCATCTATAACTTCAGCTGCAATAAATATAATGGCAAAATCAGAATGAAGAAGCAGCCAAGCTTCTATGACAGAATTCCTGCCACAGGTCCCAATAATTAGAGGTTTTAATATCTTGACATCTCCTTATAAACATTCTTAACAATAGAGAACAGTAATATCTCTCATGTTATTGACAACATTGAAATTGAAGCTCTTTTAGAAATGTTGGCTAAATGTATTATGTTTCCAGGCAGGGCGGAATTTGATCATTTTAATAATATTATTATATTAATCTTCTGTTGTATCACTAAATATTGTCTTGGTAATAATTCTGCCTAGAATATGAGCAGCATGCGCTCGTGTCGCCACAAGCTTCTTCCGATGAGCGAGCCAATTTAGCAAATGGTGAAAAGCTGGTCAAAAGACTAGAAGATGTTCAGCTATAAAACTTTTAGGAAATCTCTTAATATCCAGCAACTCATTCCTGAACCACACTGAAAAGATGCTTGATGCTTTCTATCACTCGCTCATTCACTCTGCAAGATGTATTGGTTGGAGACCAGCGAAATTACTTTTGCTTCAGATTTTTTTTTTGATTTATATATATATATATATATATATATATATATATTATTTTACAATTCTTAGAATTTTTTTCTGGTAACTAACACAAAATTATCCAAGGTTTTACTGGGGAGCGGGGTCATCTGTTCCTTTATAACTTATATTTTTTTAAAATTGGCGTGTCTTTTTTTGTCAAGTATAGTATCATTACTCGTCAACCAGTGGTGACTTGACGAATTTTTGCAGACAATGGACAATTTATTTTTAAAATGTCCGGTAAACCAGAAAAGCAAAATCGAACCGAAGACAAAATACCCAAAAATATCTTCTTAGTTTTCACACAAAATTGTACAAATAAAAAAGTTACTATTCAAACGGATTTATACCGATTACTTTCTTCTATGTTCCGTGGATTTCAGGATGTGGGCGATCATGTCGATTGTGTCCATTAGCAACATTTCTTTTATATTTTTTATATTGATGAGATTACATCCCATTGATACGGGCACTTTAGTTACGGTCTCAAGCTTCTTTGGGATAGCCTCTTTGTAGAAGGTAAACAAATCTGGGGAAGACATCCTTGTCTTACGCCCCTTTCGTTATGTCAAATGATTTTGATGTAGGGTGTTGATACACAAACGTTCTAGCTGTTTCATCTACGGTAGAGCATTCACTAAGACAATCACGTCTATTGGGTAGGTCAATAACAGTTTCCCGTAAAAGGTCAATACCCGAAGCACTTCAGATCAATCCATATGTCCTTCAATACTCTATTCTCGGTCCTTAGATTAGATTGACAATTTCTACATGAATCTTCATCTTTTTGTATAGTTTCCCCTCTGGATTTGGCGATCATAAATTCTTGTCTCTTGTGTCTCTTACTAAAATTTGTCTTTCTGTTATTTCACCTGTGTCCTGTTCAACCATATTTTTACTCTGGCTCACCAATTATGTTTTACATTGTTTTCCAAAGTCTCTCTTGCCTTCTATCTATCCGGCGAGTATCGGATTTCCCAAGCCGCCATTCATCATTATGTGTTCCCGAAATTTCAACTACCTCTTCCTAATGATAAATATTAGTTCCCTTTTTGTTTCCATCTTCTCTTAAACTCCATATTTGCCCAAATGTTCGGTTCACAATATCCTCGGAATCCTTCTTTAAAACCAAATTTCTATTACATCTAGTCTCCTCTTCAATTTTGAAGAGATTATCCAGAAATCACTGCCCTACGAATAAAGACGAGAGATAGAGATATACTATCACAAGAGAAACAGAATTAAAGAAGGAAGCATAAAAGAGATAGAGAAGGGTGAATATGATGGCAATAGAGAGGGAGACACAGGTGAGACAGACAGGGATGGACGCATAAGAGATAAAGAAAGAGACATAAGGGAGAGAGATGTAGAAGGACACGTAAGAGAGAGATAGAGAAGGGTGCATAAGAGAGATATAGAAGGGTGCATAAGAGAGAGATTGAGAAGAACATATGAGACAGAGATGGACGCATTAGAGATAAAGAAAGAGACATAAGAGAGAGAGAGAGAGATGTAGATGGACGAATAAGAGAGAGAGAGAAGGGTGCACAAGAGAGATATAGAGACACATAAGAGAGAGAAAGAGAGAGAGAGATCGAAATGCAACGCATATGAGATAGAGAAGAAGGCATAAGCGAGAGCGATATAGAACGCATAAGTGAGCGAGAAAGAGAAGATATAAGGGAGTGGTAGAGAGACGCGTAATAGCAAGAGATAGAGAGAGAGAGAGACTCTCATAAGAGAAACATAGATGAGGAGGTACAAGAGCATGATAGAGAGGGGCGCATAAGGGCAAGGGATAGAGACAGATGCATAAGAGAGATAGAGAAGGGTGCATAAGAGAGAGATTGAGAGGAACACATAAGAGAGACAGATAGGGATGGACGCATGAGAGATAAAGAAAGAGGCATAAGAGAGAGAGAGAGTTGTAGATGGACGAATAAGAGAGAGATAGTGTGAGACATATAAGAGAGAGAGAGAGAGATGGAAATGCAGCGCATAGATAGAGAAGAAGGCATAAGCGAGAGAGAGATGTAGAAGGACGCGTAAGAGATAGATAGAGAGGGACACATAAGACAGAGAGAGAGAGAGAGAGATGGGAATGAAATGCATAAGAGATAGAGAAGAAGGCATAAGCGAGAGAGATAAAGAAGGACCCATGAGAGAACGAAAAAGAGAAGAAGGTATAAGAGAGTGGTAGAGAGAGACGCGTAAGAGCAAGAGATAGAGAGAGAGAGAGACTCTCAAAAGAGAAAGAGAGTTAGAGAAGGAGGTACAAGAGCATGATAGAGAGGGGCGCATAAGGGCAAGAAACAGAGAGAGAGTCTCATAAGAGAAACAGATTTAGAGAAGGATGCATAAGAGAGATAGAGAAGGGCGCATAAGAGAGAGAGATAGATAGAGATGAGAGAGTGATAGAGATGGACGCTTAAGAGATTGAGAAGGAGACAGAAGCGAGAGAGATAGAGATGGACGCATGAGAGAGATAGAGAAGGAGGCATAAGAAAGAGGAGGAGAGGGACGCATAAGAGCGAGATAGAAAAAGATGCACAAAAGATACCGATAGAGAGAAACTCTTGAGAGAGATAGGGTGGGACGCATAAGACAGTTTAACGATAGTCCGAAGGCTTATCTATCTCCGGGCGTTGCTTTAACAACACCGCCGATGAAAAACTGGTTTGCACCATCCAATAACACCAAAGTGTAGTGGATGGGTTAATTATGTGGTAATATTTGTTGAGAATAGGTTGCGTGTCAATTAACTATTTCCACTAACATCAAAATAAAATACAAAATTCAACTGAATTGTTTTATAACGTAACAATTAGATTTATTTAGGTTGACGTACAAGCATGCACAAAAAGGTAGGACAGAGTCGTGTCCCTTTAACTTGCAAATATTTGTACCAGCGTTCATATTAAGAACAAGACAATATATTAGAAACTGATAAAACATTTATATACAATTCAAAACGATATACAAGCAGAATATTAGGTATATGTTATGTTGGCAAATGTGTGTGATGTTTTAGGTTTCAGAATGTCTTTCTTGTAAGCGTTCGTTAATGTTGATATCAAAGTTGTTATTATTAAGTGTCTTTTTAAACAGAAAGTTCTTAAGAAGTAATTTACCTTTCACTGTAATATTTTTAAGATCGTTCGCACATAAATGTTTACTTAATAGATAGTAAATGTAATTTACTTTAGATAAGCAATATCTGAGAAATAGTATCCACAGAATTGGTTGAGTTGAATTGTTAGTGAGTCAGCGTTGAGGTGTTTTTTGGTGGCAAAGTCTGGTTTCGAACAACGTGGAGTAAGTTAGCAATTCTCTGTGGTGCTGTCAGTGACTTTCTAAAGTTGGTTAAAGTTCTGGAGTGATTTCAGAGTTCGTGAATGTTGGTAATTGTCTTTAACGTCTGGTCAGCAATGACTAAGACGGAAGTTGGTGAAGGTTATCTTGAGACTTGGTGACTACAACTCGAAAAGTTCACACGTGTTCGGTTTATATAATGGCCGAGTGGCTCCCAGCATATGAGCGGGAAAACAGATTGGTCGCGTGCAGGCGGTTTGATTGGTCGGAACTGACCAATCAGCAAGCCAGATTGGAGGTGATTGACCAATGAATACTTGTTATATTGTATGAAAGTAGAATTTGGCTTAACAGATAGGAAGAGTGCATTTTCTGAAAAGAGGTAAGGCTGGTTGTGTTGTGGAAGATTCCACAAAAGCCATGCGAGTAATGTTCATCAATAAGCAGCCCCTGATTTTCTCCAGTTAGGTTTTAATTGCAATGAGGCCTCTTACTTTGAACGTCTACTGAATTCAAATTTAACCCAAATCCCAATATACGATCCAAAGTTATGAATGCAAGTTTGATTTTGTTAAGCAGCATATTAAAACCTCTCTAGGTTACTGTAGCGGAACTGAAAGGCAGCAGTCTGTGGCTTCTGCTGAAATGACTATAGTTCGCCATTCTAAGAGGCAACGAGTGGCATGCGTAATATGTAAGCAGAATAGTGGACGCTTACGCAAATGTAGCAACAGTCCCTGGCAAAATGAAATACTGGACGAACGAGGAAAGAAAAGAAAGGCCGACCTTGGAAACGTTCACGAATCTGTGCGTAATGTAAAGTCCGGTTGCCCGGCGACGAAAAAAGAATCAAAATGGCGGCGCCCATGTTTTATGACAGGTGGTCTCAGACGATTAACGCGAAATCTCGTTGGCTAGTGATTCGTATGTAAATTATGGTCGGTCCTCGGCTGTATAAAGCAAGCCGTCTTTTGGGGGAGACAGAGGCGTTTTTGTTGGCGAGAAGCGAAGGCTGGGTGTGTGACCCAATTTTGCCGTCTCTACGTGGCCTGTTTGGATTTTTACGTCGGACAGTCGTTGAACTTGATTTTGGCTACAAGTGTTGCGGATGAGAAGCAAATCTGTTGCAGATTTATTCCTACCAGAAATTGACACTCATTATTTGTTTTGTTTTGCTTTTTCTTTTCATTACCAACACAGTTACTTAATGCTGAAATCTCAATGTTTTGAACACAATTTTATGGCTTCAATTAAATATAGTTTGAATGCAATTGTATGCTTTTAAAGACAGATAAAATGTGCTGTTGTTGGTAATTTTCCTATAAAATCTATTGTTGTGAATTATTTTTAATCATTTCATCCGAACGAAGGCATTTGTACGCAGGGTGTTACAGAGTGTGAATGTAAAAAAAAAAAAAAAAGATTGCGGATGGGAGGACCAATGATAAAAGCTGAACGGGGTTCAAGAAGATAGAAAATGGCGATTGACATTGCATTTAAAATTTTGAAGATTATAGTTATCAGAGAAGTAAGAAAAAAGGAGGGAGTTCCACGGGTAGGAAGTGCGAGAAAAGAAACTGTTGGAATAGAAGTGGTGGTTACATTTACCTAACAGTAAAAAGGTAGGACCTAGATGCCAATCAAGTAGGAGGCTTAAACACGCGTATTCCGGACAACAGAGGAAAAAAAACTCGTCAGAATATATTTGTAGAAAAGACAGAGGGAAGCTATGTCACGTCGGTGAGAAAGTGACTGAAGTCGAGATGCCAATTCAGAATCGATTACACTGCAGATCTTTCTTTGGATTTTGCCAAAAACCTCGAGGTTCTTAGCAAGACACTGACCAGATATAGCAACAGTATTCAATGCACGAACGAATGGTGGATTTGTAAATGCGCAACACCCACAAAATATTTAATATCTAAAAATCCACTAAACTAATTGTGTTAATTTTTTCCAGGTTTTCAAATAAGGCGTTTAGCCATCTTCACATCATTTGCCGTAAGAATCACTAAAAAATCCTTTAAGTTATTCAGCTAGAAAGAGAACAGGTTAAATTCGTTTTGTGTCAGTCCAGCTATGTCTTCCCAACTGAGTAATGGTGAGAGGAATCTCAGTAATGGTACCAACATTCATACTCTGGCTTCCATTTGCAATGTTCACTCAAGAACCATTAAGAGAACGGTGAATAAGTTTAAAAAAGATGGAACAGTAGATAGGAAAATGGATGAGCAAGTCAGAACAGGGAGATGGCTCATCGATTCAACTTAGATCTAAATACATTCTTATCAAATACATACTCATCAGTAGTGCTATAAAAACCTCAAAGAATTCCAGCAAGATATTTCTAAGATACAACGGTTCAAATCTTTGCTGTTACGCACGCTATGTTCTTTAATACTTCTTCGCTACTTAGACGCCCATTCCCTGGTATTCTCACAATCCTTCTGTTGGACAACATTTCTATTGTCTTGTCTCTTTCCTTCATCTGTTAGGAGATAGGCCAGCATCCATGACCATAAAAATATTGATATTACATAACAGTTCAGATTTCAGTTCAATTTTAATTGTTAGAACTCGATTCTATGAGTCCAAAAGGTTGTTTTTTTCCTTCATCTCAATCGTTTTTAATATATTATTCTTAGTAGAGAATGTAATTTGGCAACTTTAAAACTGGGCAAATGCCTGGAATTGCTATAAAGATTATTACCATCAGTAAATTTAATTTAACGAGACTAATGAAAAAAGTAATAATTATTGGCCCAGGCTCTTAAAACATTGACGTATGTTATTTCCATTGTTTTGTTTTCTATATCGGAGTTATCCCACACATGTTTATATCTTTGGAAACAGTAATTATTATAGAAATAATTTCCTCATCAATACCAGATTGTCTTTACGCTGACAGAGTAGCGACCGAGGAAAATAATACTTTGAGGTGCTCGGTCCTGGGGAACAACTCGCCGAGTTTACACTCTCTCATTGCGCTAGAGGGCGGGATTGGTGCCCGACAGCTCATGCGACGATTGTGGGGACTAAGGAATTTTTGTACCCGGCGCTTCAGTTCCTAAACATAAAACATGACCTTGTATTACATCTCGTCTCAGTAGAGAGGCCAGGGTAAATAACGTAACAAATAGTTTTTTTGGGGGGAGGGGGTTCTGACGAGCTATATTGCTTTCTCCCGGCAATTCGGGCCCAACATGCCACGTAAAAAATGACACATCCTTATTCCTTTCGTATTCAATAATTAAGTAGTAATTGCTACTATCATATTTGGGCTACAGTTGCTCAGTTCGTACTTGTCTGTCTTTATAGAATTCAAATGCGTCTACTTGAACTTGTGGGTGATGAATTATTTTCCCCTCTACAGCCCACAGAAGAAATTTCGCGGGTCTCTCGCTGTTATGTTGCTATTTTCTTGGCATCTGATCTAACGGGCTATATTCCCCGGGGCAACTATCCCTGGCCACCTTTGTATCTGGAAAACGCCATGCCACATACTCTCTTCTTATTCCATTAGTAAAGAGTAACCCCCGCTTAGAGAACTTCTTCCAAGCACTTCTGTTTTGTAGAACAGGCACACCGTCGATTATTTCCCACTGTAATCTCGACCTCTTCATGTTTAGTGTCAACTGTTATATTCCTAGAACTTCACTTCTTGCCTTTTCTTACATTCATACAGCATCACGCAGTAACTTTCTATCTTGAGTGTCTCTTGGGCCTAATATTTGATAAACATTAGGACACAAAAAAATAAGATCAATATACGTTGAATATATTTTAAGCTCTATAAATTAGATTTCATCACTCTCCGCCAAACTTTGAAGAACTTGCACGTATTCGTAAACTAATAAAGAACATGAAGGTTGGAGTAGGAGTGATTTATTAATTATATACAAAGTTGCTGAAGATTAGAAATTGCTTCCAAGTCGAAACATCTCGCATTATGAAGATATACCGTTGTACAAATTAGATTTTGTAATAAC